CATCATCATAGCTCACTGCAACCTCCAACTCCTGGGCTCAAGTGATCCTCCTGCCTCAGCCTCCCCAGTAGCTGGGACTATATCTGGTGGTGCACACCACCACACCCAGATAAGTGTTCTAATTTTTGTAGAGATGGGGTCTCACTCTTGCTCAGGCTGGTCTCGAACTCCTACCCTCAAGTGATCCTCCGGCCTCAGTCTCCCAGAGTGCTAGGATTACAGGTGCAGGCCACCATGCCCAGCTGATATTGAGATTCTGATTCAAGTCTGTTGGACTCCAAAGTTTGTGTTTTAACATCCAACACAACAATGATTTTCAAAGGTTGATCACTAGGGGAAAAAAGACAGTGAATAGGACAATACAGAAAATATATCACACATGATAAGCCTAAATATTGGTTCATAAAACTTTTCTTCCAATTGTGTGTGTATGTGTGTATGTTTGTACACTGGTAACAATACACAATTTATTCCTTACTGTTGGTTGTATAAGTAAAAAAGGTTTGAGAAACATTATATTACAGTATAAATGCTTCCAGCCCCTCTACCGTGGGACAGGCAGACTGCCTCCCCCAGGAAGACCTCACCTAATGCAGTCACCCTGAGCCCAGCCCAGGGGCCATGCAGCCCCGAGGAACCTGGGCCCCTTGTATCCTCATAGCTTCCTCTGTCTTTGTCCGTACTCAGATGGTGTGGGCATCCTCCAGTCGGCTGGGCTGCGCCATCCACACCTGTAGCAGCATCAACGTCTGGGGCAGCACCTGGCATCAGGCAGTGTACCTGGTCTGCAACTATGCCATCAAGTAAGTGCCAGCAAAGGGGCTCTGGGGCAGGGGGATCCTGAGAATTCAAAAAAATGAAAGACACACACAGTATCCCTGCTTCCTCCATTCTCAGTACTCTGAGTACCATACGATTTTGGTAGTTTTAGAGAGTCAATTAATAATCCTTTTCTTCCTTTTTTTTTTAAGAAATCAGTTGTATTGAAATATAGGCATCAAAGTATTTTAAAAAGTGAGATTTAGAAGCACATGTACTTCTTTTTTATTATTATTAATTTTTGTTTCAAAATATTAAGGTGGTACAAATGTTTTCAGTTACATGAATTGCTTTTGTAATGCTTGAGTCCCAGCTATGCATGCCCATCTCCAGATAGTGTCCATAGTACCCATTAGGTAGGTTTCCCCCCTCCTCTCCTCCCACCTTCCCCCTGGTTGATTTCCACTGAGTTTTACTTTCCTCTGTGCACATGTGTTTTCATCGGTTAGTTCCAATTTAATAGTGAGTACATGTGGTGTTTGTTTCTCCATTCTTGAGATACTTTACTTAGGAGAATTGTCTCCAGTTCCATCCAGTTTGTTGCAAAAGGTATTAATTCATCTTTTTTATGGCTGAGTAGTACTCCATGATATACATATACCACATTTTATTAATCCACTCATGAATTGATGGGCACTTGGGTTGATTCCACATCTTTGCAATTGTGAATTGTGCTGCAATAAACATTCGAGTGCAGGTGTCTTTTTGATGAATAATCCTTTTTCTTTATCCAAGTTTCAGAATCAATTGGGAGACAGAAAGGGGACCCAGGCAGGTGTAAAGGCAGTGTCACAGAAGAAGTCGACAGTGGAGAATGTGGTTTAGATCTGCCAATCTGCCAGCCATGTGGGCTTGCAAACACCTCACAGTTGAATTAGACCTACATACCCAGTGACAGGCAACACTGGACAACCATAGGCCTCTTCTTTATAAGTGCAGTGCCAGCCCCTCTAAGCTTACCACAAGAAATAGACAACCAAGAACACATGTTCCCTGCGGGCAGGCAGAGCACAAAGGAAAGACAGGAAGGAGGAAGGAGCATGTTGAGCTTCCTCTCCAATCAGCTTGGTGGGAAAGAGTTTATGTGCCACCTTCATCCAAATCCCTTGGAAACATGGAGAAAGGAGAATGAAAGTTCCCATCCAATGTACAGTACACAAACTTGTAAACATTATAGATTCTCATACAAAAAATAAGAATTCCAAGTAAACATGGTATTTAGAATTTCAAAATTATATAATATAATAATAACCACAATAAATCAATGTGAAAAATCTCTATGAACTGTCTAGTTTATGTAGGCAAATGGCAATTTTATGCAATAAATTTGTATCCTTTCTATTCGAATCTGGATAGGGACCTTGAAAAATATTTTTAGGGACTGCTGTTCTTACTCCATCTAAAATTACACTTTCAAATAGCCTACTTTTTTGTTCACTGGAAAGACTATGATATCATTCGATCTCCGCACATACCAAGTCTTGTGATTCAAAGTCTCATGTTCTTTCTATTGTACTAATCTGATGTTCTTGAAGTTGTGGCAGCCTGAACACAAATTCTAAAACTGGGATATTTGTTAGATGGTGGCATCTACTGACAAAATGTCACATTGCAGTCCAGCTTTATCACACATGGAAAAATAAAAGAAACCAAATTCCATTACAAATAGCTTAAGGTTGAGGAACTGTTCTAATTTGTTCATTGACATACTGAATTTTTGAAGCATTGAGTGTATTTGTTAATATTTTTAAAGGCTCTGGAGTCAAGATGCCGGGGTTCAAATTTGTAATTTTACTTAACTTCTCCATGCATGTTTCTTCATCTGCAAAATGGGAATAAAATAGTACCTAGTGAACTATTGAGGGAATTAAGTGAGACAACCTAGGTAACGCCCCTGGGCTTGTAAGTGGGGAGTCTATATTGGTTCTTATTGCTACTGCCAGATCTAGGTTTGGTCCCTTGCTCTACCGTGTGCGTACTAGGACTTTGAATACAGCATTTTGCCTCTACAGGCCTTAATCTCCTCTTTTAAGGCTAATACTACCTGGCTCACAAAATTTAAGGATTAAAATATGATAACGTGGCTAGTGCGGTGCCTTGCCTGTAGTACATGCTAAATGAATGGTGGCCATGATTATAACTAGGTTATAAACTCTCGAGGGTGAGAAATAGATTGTTCATTTCTATATCTTACTACAGTGATTTCAATCCTTTGTTTTTTTAAGCAGATCTTCCCCCCAAGTGGTTAAATTAAACAAAAAAAGAGCTACAGGTCCTTTCTCCATCACCCCAGACATCTCCACCACGCACTGTCTCTGCCCCCAAACTTCTGAAAGCACCTTTTGAAAACTGTGGACTGCTGGCAGCTGGCATAAATCCTGACATACAGTAGATGCTCTGGAAGTGTTTGTTGAATGAATGAATGAATGAATGAATCCTGTTAGGAAACCAGAAGTGCATACTTTTCTGAGCACTTTGGCTGACTTCACTCAGTCATTCAACAATCATTTTGGAGGAAAAAAGATTCCATTTTTGCCCACAAGGAGCGTTCATTTAAGGTGTGAGAAAATACGGCATTGGGACTTGCAAAGGCAGAAACAAACAAAGAAAGAGACTTGCAAAGATAACTAACCCTACAGGCCAGTGGTGAGGTTATTAGGCAGCCATGAGCAAGAGCTGGGGGGATGATTTTAGGCTTTGAGAGCAAGAAGAGGGAGAAAAAGAGAGAAATCTATGGACTGTGCTAGAGAAGAGAATGTGGGAAGATGAGGCATGTAAGTTGGATCCACGTGCTGCTGGGGCAGTCTGGAATGCACGACCAAAAGCTGTTGATGAGTCTATAAACCAGAAGTCCACAACTCCCGCCCATGGCCTGATCTGGCCTGCTGTCTGTTTTATAAATAAAGTTTTATTGAAACACAGCCGCGCCATTCCTTTACCCATCATCTACAGCTCCCTTCATGTGCCAGAGACAGCCTGGCTGGCGAAGCCTAAAATAGTTACTATCTGGCGGTTTACAGAAAAAGTTTGCCAACTCCTGCATAGGGGATGGGAACACCCTAAGAGTTCTTGAGTAGGAGAACATGAGGAGAGTAGTGGTCTTTTTTTTTTCAACAGCTTTATTGAAACATACAGTCGGCCCTCCCGATCTGTGGGTTCAACTTCCATGGATTCAACCAACATAGATGGAAAATATTTGGAAAAATCATCTGTACTGAACATGTACAGGCTTTTTTCCTTGTCTTTATTCCCTAAACAATACAGTATAACAAGTATTTACACAGCATTTACACTGTATTAGGTATTATAAGTAATGTAGAGATGATGTACAGTGTACGGCAGGATGTGCGTAGGTTATATGCAAGTATACACCATTTTGTATCAGGGACTTGAACATTCTAGGATTTGGGTATCTGCAGGAGGTCCCAGAATCGATCCTCCAAGAATAGCGAGGGACAACTGTAATTCAAATCCCAAACAACCCACCGATGGGTTTTGGTATATTATATTACTAATTTTTTTAAATTGTGGCAAAATATGTGTAACACAAATTATGTCGTTTTAACGATTTTAAATGTACAACTCAGAGGCGTTATTTACAATCACGATGTTGTGCCTCCATCCCCACTACCTATTCCCAAAATCTTTTCATCAGCCCAAAGAGAAACTCTAACCATTAAGCAATAACTCCCTCTCCCATCTCCCCTTAGAAGGTGGTGGTCTTTGAGAGGATTAATTCAGGAGCAGGTGGGATGGATTTGGGACAAAGCTGTTGAAGAAGCTTCCACAGTGGCCGCGATGAGTCTCGGCAGGCATGTCCGCCATGACCGAATTATACTTATCATCTCATTATTCTGGCTCTCGTTTGCACAGCACTCGTGAAGTTACAGAGTGTCCTCTCATAGGCCATTTCAAGTAATTTTCACTTACACCATTTCATGTATTCATTTTATCCAGAGGAGAAAAATCAAGTCTCAAGAAATGAGGTGGCTTCTCCTGTCACTAGTAGCAGGTGGCAGAATCCAGGACCAGACTCCGATCTGCCTACTCTGGGGGGAGCGGGCGGAGTGAGGAAATCAACCCTTCCCGGGGAGTCACCTACTTGGCAGCACGGTGCTGGGTACATTCACACATGCCTCCGTTTGATCTTTGCTGCATTCCTGAAACAGTGGGGGGTTAGGGGTTCTTCTGTTAGATTTACAGAGAAAACCAAGGCTTAGGGATGTGTCTTGCCCCAGGTCACCGGGCTAGTCATTGGCAGTGCTGAGATTTGAACATGTGTGTGAAGGTTGCTCACCTAAGGCTCTCTGTCCCCCAACCCTGCCTCCCTGAGACCTTTTCTCTTCCAGGGGCAACTGGATCGGAGAGGCCCCATACAAGATGGGGAGGCCGTGTTCTGCCTGTCCCGCCAGCTACCAAGGCATCTGCAGTAGCAACATGTGCTTCTCTGGGCCGAAATCCAACAGGTTCCTGTGGTTCTGAAATTTCCCTGGGCTCTGGTGTGCCTCCGACTGGGCCCATCCTCTAAGATCCCTCCCCAGAGACTGGGTGGAGAAACAATTTTTTAAAAAAGGGTATGCACTGGGATCACCCCACTGAATTTTCCCTCCCGGATTCCCTCTCCTAGATGTCTAGCATGTGTCAGAAGAAAATGACCTCCTTGCCTTCCTTCTTTCCGTCGTTACATCTTTCTTTTCTCTGGCCTGGGAAAGAGACCTGCATCTTTCGTTAACTCAATTCTCAGAGAGCCGGGGCTGGAAGGCGCAGTGATGGAAGCTTGGTTTTGTGACTCCCAGCAAACCCAAAAGACTTTGTCCACACAATGAAAGGCATTTATGATGTCATATTTACCCTGAAACCCACCTTCATTCATCCAATAACAGCCAACAAGCTTCTGGGCAGCCTTGGAGGACTCGTAGTTCCCTCCCTGAGCGGTGCACGTTTCAGAGCCAGGCTTTTAAAAAACACTGAAATTAGCTGTGGACATTGCACCCCCACCCCTGACATGTTGCTGGAGCCACCACAGGTCCAGGCTTCCCTTTTACAGATGGGCACACGGAAGCTCAGAGGAGGGGTGTGACTCACTGAGAGCCGCACAGCTTGTCTCCCACAGAGAGACCACTCTGAGAAGAACTGATCTCAGAACCGAGGTGTGAAAACCAAAGCTGGCCCGAAGGAGCTCTCTCTTTCTGGACCACTTTCTCTCTTTCCGCATCTTCTGTCTCTCTCTGCCTCGATCTCTCTCTTTTGTCTACTTCTCTGCACTATCCCTGTCTGGTTTTCTGTCTTAATCTCTGCATCTGATTCTCTTTTTCTCCCGTACAATCTTACTCTCATTCCAATAAACCATTTCCCTCTCCCCACCCCATCCCACCCAGACACCACAGCACACAAAAGCCCTTTGTCTCCAGAGACAGTAAAATCTCCTTCCTCAGACCTTGCCCTCGGGCTGGGGCCCACCCCCTGCCTGGCTGGAGAGAACCCCAAAGACCCGGGATGGGGAACAGGCCCTTCTCTGTGGAACCCCTGCCTTGTCTTGGACACAGTTTTCTTTCCTCTTGGTCATCTGTACCCAGGCCAGATCTATGCATGTCACTCCCTCCCCCTGCCCCCAATAAAATTCAATGCAGTGGCTCCTTCTGGTCCCTCCCTCTCTCAGCTCTGGGAAGGGTCAAAAGACAGGGGAAGGGAATTGGTGTGGGAGATGGGGTTAGGGATAAACCAGCTCAACCGGAAGACCAGGGGAGGGGACTAACAGTCCCTCGGCCACCATGCAAACGTGTGTATATTATTACCCCACTTTACAGATGAGAAAGATGAGGCTTCAGGTGAGTACAAATTTCCAAAGGCTGAAATTGAGTGAAATAAGAAAACCAAGGACACTGTTGTGAGTTCATTATTCTCAGATTTTATCTTTCCTACTGTATTTTTTTGGCATGGGCTCTTCTCAAATGCAGTATCAGAAATGGCAAACCCGAGAGATCACCTGAAATGCCCACTCTTTTTGCTTAATTGTGTCTCCCTTTGTCCAAGCCCTGAGTTTGTCCCTTCTGAGCTGAGAGGCGAGAGAGCAAAGGGGTTACCACATTGATCTTTTGCACCATAGAGCAGATTCAATGCGGTCTCTTGAGCCTCAGGTTTTACATCTGTGAAATGGGGATAGGAACGGTGCCAATTCAGTGCCATTGAAGGTGTGGGGTGCTGACAAACGAAGCAGTTCTTAAATGCCAGTGGTTGTCATTCTCACTGTCCTGGGACTCAGGACACAGGAGGACATGTGGGGCAGCTGAAAGACAGCACGAGCTTTGTGGGCAGGTGACACTGAGTCCAAATTCCATGTCTGTTCCTTATTAGCCACGTGACCTTATGATGCTGCTTAATCTAGGGGGTACGTACTACTTAAATTTCCAGAACATTTTGGGAAATTGACATAGGGTTGGCAAGCTTTCCCCCACCTAATACAAGAATATTAATAACTTTTTTAAAAATCTAACATTTGCTCTCACCATTGTTTTACTAAAGAAAGGACATTTTAATACAACCCGTGCCCACCAATAGGGTATGGGGGTCCCTGTGAGGGGGCTGAATAAGCACCTGGGAGACTCCCGGCAAGGAACTTCCCTCTGTGCCTCAATTTCCTCATCTCAAGGTTTAATTTAAACGTGGCAATGCCTGTATGCAGCTCCCAGCATCCAGTAGGCACTCAATAAACACAGTTCTCCACCCTCCTTTTCTCCTCTACCCCTCCCTCGGCTTCCCTACTCCTTCCTGCACTGACACACCCATAGTTTGGAGTCATAAAACCCAACCCGGATTGGACTCTTACCTCTCCAGCCCCTCCTGCCCAGTCCCTTCCCTCAATTCGGGGGGCTGGTGTCCCTTACATCTGGCTCCAGGTGCCCCTGACCCCCAGAGTGCAGGACTGGGGCCCGAGTGGACCTCGGGTCTGGCCAGATCGCCATTGCCATGGCGACAGCAACAGTCCCCAGCCACAGGTTCCCTAAGTGACTGGTTACTCTTTAACGTATCCACCCACCTTGGGTGATTAGAAGAATCAATAAGATAACCGGGCGGTGGCAGCTGGCCGTGCTCACTGCCTTCCTGGTGGACTGGCCCCTGGTGGCCCTGCTGCTGTGCTGTGTGGGCCCCGGCTCCTCCATGCCCCGGGGTCTCCAGCTGGTTGGGCTTGGCCATGGTCAGTGTGAACGCGTCCCTCGGGGCTCCAGTGGAGGGTCCTTATGGTAAGTGAGGCCAGCAGCTGGGGCCTGGGGAGGACTGGACAGGGCAGGATGAGGGTCAGGTTTGGGAGGCCATGGGACACCTCCCTGTGTGTTTCTGACAGGCCCAAAGCCCTTCCAGGGCTCCTCTAGAATGGCAGGAAGCCCAGGGGAGGCGTGGGGCTTGCGGGGCGAAGCTCTCAAGCAGGGGCCTGCCGGCTTGGTGTGGGAAGTGCTGGGAGGGGCTGCAGGAGCCCTGGGCAGAGGCTTGGCTGGCTCCGCCTGCCTGGAGGCTTCTCTGGGAATGCCTCTCAGGGGTCTTCCCCAAATCCCACCATGTTGGCTTTGCTTCGGGGCAAACTGAGGTCCACAGAGAGCCTTGCAGAGCCCAGGTCACGGAGCCGGTGCCTGGTCTGGCTGAGGGGAGGACCCGAGCCGGTAAATGCCGCGGGACAGTGGGCTTGATCCCTCCACACCTGCCCTGGCTCTGGACAAAGGGGAAGAGGTAGAAAGTGCCGCACAGCACGGGGCGTTGCAAACGGGAATATCTTGTGCTGAGTGTGGGAAACTTAGATGCACGACCAGGAAAGCGTGTTACTGACAGTGACGGGCCGGGCTCTACTGCTTGGGGTGACCCCGGAGTGTCCCTCCTTAGAGGGAGGACGGGTAAACAAAGCTCGCTGCATCTTTACGATGGAATGTGATCCCATTGTTGAAGGAAAGACTGCAGATCTGTGTGCTGATAAGGAAGAACCTCCAAGTTACATTAAGTGAAAACAGTAAGCTGAAGAAATGTGTGTAGTTTCTGATAACGAAACGGATGTAGATGTCTATATGTACACACACGTTTGTATTTGCATAGAAAATTGGTGAAAGGACACAAACTGGTGACAGTTTTGTTTCTGAGGAAGGAGATTCAAGAGAATGTTTGTTTTACCTTTTTTGGGGCCCATTCTGGATTTTTTTAAAGATGAGGTGCGTTTCATAAACCTGTTTAAATCTCGCACATGCACAGAGCTCGGCCTCTGAAATCCAATAGATCTTGGTTCTCGTTCTGTGACGTTAGTCAAATGACTCAACGTTTACGTGCCTCTATGGCTTTCTTTCCGAAGTGGAGACGGCACTAGGATGTGTCTCAGGGTCACCATGGACAGCTAAAGGGGAGCAAGAGTATAAAGTCCTTGACACCACGGACATTGTAAAGACTCGATAAATGTCACTTCATGGTCATCATTAGCTGAGGACAGATGGCCGGTCCATGACAGAATCAGGGACTGGTCTCCTGACTCTGGTCTGGGGAGTCTTTTTTGCTTTGCCCACCACCAAGCAGGATTAGATGCTCTGGAAGTAGCAGAGGCTGAAGAACCAAACAGCCCGAGGGCCCATCCCACACGCCGGCTGTGTGACCTTGGGCAAGACACTTCCCCTCTCTGAACCCATATCCTCCTCCATAAAATGGAGATAACAGCAGAACCTGTCTCACTGAGGCTGGGGGAAGATTCGAGGAGACAGCGGAGCTGAAGGGCGAGGCAACCCTTAATCCACAAGACCTGGTGTAAAGACACCTGTGCGACTTGCTTGAGCCTGTGGCAGAGGAAGACACACCTCCTGAGGAAGGACAGCCCGGGTCGTAAGTCCAGGCTAAGGGGGAGCAGGAGGCCCCACAGAGTCCCTCTCAAAGGATAGTACAACAGTAACATAACCTGACAGCCTCTCACTGTCTCCAGGGCTACCCACCTTGTAGGATGTCCCCATGTTCCTCCATCTCAGCCCCTGTGCAGCGCTCATCACATAGCGAGCCTTCAACCAGTGTTAGCATGGTTGGGTGGGTGGATGGATGTTCTGTACCGGTCAGCTCATGTCATTCTCAGAACAGCTGCCTGAGATAAAGAATGCTGTCGGCCTCGCACGGTGGCTCACACTTGTGATCCTGGCACTCTGGGAGGCTGAGGCGGGAGGATCGCTTGAGCTCAGGAGTTCAAGACCAGCCTGAGCAAGAGCGAGACCCCGTCTCTACTAAAAATAGAAAAATTAGCCGGGTGTCATGGTGTGTGCCTTTACATCCCAGCTACTTGGGAGGCTGAGACAGGAGTATCGCTTGAGCCCAGGAGTTTGAGGCTGCAGTGAGCTAGGCTGATGCCACCGCACTCTACTCAGGGTAACGGAGTGAGACTCTGTCTTCCAAAAAAAAAAAAAAAAAAAAGAATACTGTTATCTCCAAGGGTAGAAGAGAAAACTAACGCTCAGGATTATTTAAAAAAGAAAAATTGCCTGACTCTGGACCTGACACAGTCCAGCTGTTGCAGATCCTCCCGGCTGGGCAGCGAAAGGAGTGCTCCAGCGGCCGGGTTTGCAGCACCCATCAACCAGAAAGGAGCGCTTTTGTCCTGGGACCGTGGGGCGTTGGCTGTAGTATGTGTGCGATAGTGGCTAAAAGACTCTGATTTTACCTGTGTGGCTTTATAAGTCACTACCGATCTCTGAACCTCATGTGTTTCACCCGCAAAATGAGCTAAGGAAGTGTGTCGGGAGGCTCCAGAAAACATCACTTTCTGATTTAAAAAAAAAATGTTTCGAGGGAAAAAAAAACCCCTCTCCTCTAATGGGATATAATAATGACCGTCTGCTGAGATGACAACAGCAGGAGTGAGTTGGATAAGGGGCATGGTACCTAGCGGATGTCAGTTGGAGGCAGTGGAGGGCACGATTTCTGTGAAGGCGGAAGGGATGAATCCGTGAGCACTAGGAAA